CTGTTTAGTTCAAGTACCCTTTACTCATGTGGAAGAAATGTTTGCTTTGTTAGACTTTCAATACTGCTGGTGCCACAAGAAAATATCAGGAAACTTCCAGGTTTGTACTGCTAGATTTTATCAGTAAATTTACCAACAAAACCAAAGAAAGATTAGCCTGCGTATTTTAATCCTATATAGAGCACACGTCTACTGAGTTCAGTAGAGAAATATATATGTATATATGCTGCTTTCACATTTTACATAAAAGAAAGAGGAAAAAAACCTATAAAAATCTGCTGAAGAGGCTCCTGAAGGTGGTTTTTTGTTCTCTTTTTTTCAGATTTTCTTAAAAAGCAACAAGGGGCAAAATGCTGAAATATTGTGCCCAGACAACATATATGTCCTTTGGGTGGTAAAGAGGTTCACTCACAGAACTGCATTTCATGCCCATCGCCATCAGCTCCTTTGCTGACCTGGTCATGCCTTTGTCCCATGGCTAGAGACAGCAGAACGTAGCTTAACTGACATATGACCTAAATCAGATTTACAGACAAATCAAATCCTCATTTCCAGGGAATTTGTTTCAAGGCTTACATTAAGGCAACTTGCAACCTAGGCTCAGCAGAGATAATTTTTTAAATCTTTTGATATGTTGTACTTTAAAAGGTTTACCATGTCTACAGCAGACACTGACCTCATTCCATTCTGCCAGGGAAATGGCAATGTTATGATGTATTTGAGATTTTAATTTATGTCAGTATGCCAAAGATATGGTATAGCAGAAAATAAAAAAAGTGATGAATCACCAGCTGAAGATTTTCAATGAGAAAATACCTGTAAATTAAGGACAATATTTTCAAAATGAACAAAGCTTCAGAAACAGAACAATGCAGAAATCTAAAATAAATGTTATAGTACTCAATTTTAAAGACAGTATTAGCTATTTTGTCTTGGGTAACGGGGAAGAGAAGGTGACAGATTAGAGTTGGGGAGAGGGAAATCATGCAGGCTCTGATTAATCAGAACTGTCTACCCACATTTGCCTACACAAGCAGAATTAAAACCATCAAACAAGTTTTAGTGCTAGATCTCAGAGGCTGCGGTGGAAATAATATGCCCTGACATTTTTAGAGTCAAAGTGATAAGGACGAGAGCAGCGTTTTGTCATTAGAAGTCCTGTGGTCATTTGCAGAGAATGCCCCAGCTCTGCTTTGAGAAGAAAGAGTTAAATTACTCAGAGCTATTACATCCTGTCTGCTGCTTGGCGGGACCACATACTGTGACAGCTTCGAGCTTTACATCCTCTACAAACTGACATTTTACACACATACCGAGTGCATCACACTGTTCAGCTTGTTTTCTCTATTAGCCTTAGCAATTAAAAAGGCAGCACTTTCTCTGCTAAGAGGTGTGCCAACCCCTCTTTTTTGCCTTTATGGTTAAACAGCAGAACTTTACCTTTTCATTTAGAAAGGTTCTCTTTTCATTACTAAGGACATCGATACATGCTACAGGGCTTTCCTTTAAAAACAGCTTTCTTTTGTTGTGGCTGGGATTCTTTTGTTCGTTTCTTCTTAATTAGGATGCAACATAATAAATTTATATTCAGTTCAGACCACATCTGAACAAGTCCATAGCTCAAGTCCATAACTCATCCAGATCATCAAATCTGATACAAATTTAAAATAAGGAGCCATTATACACATTTATGTCATGCTGCCCGTCAGTGCTTCTTCCACTGCCTTGGTACAAACGAAAACAAATGGAAAAGGTTAATCTAGATCAGAGCTGAACCTACATTAAAAAAAAAAAAAGAAAGTCTACATTAATGAGTCATTCCACTGCTCCATAATTATCTCTGTGATAAATACACTTTGAAGTACTCATAACAGAAACAAAGCTTTTACTGGCTTTCAGACATCTGTCACTACTGAACTCCGCCTCCTGCCCTCTACATCCCCCATTTTACAGTCCCTTGCTCTGCCACTGCATTACTCCATGTTTATGGTAAATAAAAGTGAATTCCAAAAGGGTTTAACAGAGAGGCGACTTGGTCTTTTGGGTACGACACTGAGCAAGTGCATACAGATCCCCCGGCTTCCAATCTGTCTGTCATTCATTTGATGACTTTACCTATGCCTATTCTGTCTCAAAAAGCATGAGGCATGAAATATCCAGGCAGTTATTTAAATGTCAGGAGGAGAAAAAAAGGCGGTCAGCTCTGCTCTTCCTCTAAATGGGTAAGATCTTTGCAAGAGTTCCCCAATGCCTCGACCTCCTTCCTTCAGCAGGCTTTTTCTTCCTCATATTCTTCCACTTTCAGGTTGGTGGGTAACACATTCATAATGTCCCCAAAGGAGGGGCGGTTAATCTCAGAAGAGCAAAATTGCCAGGGAACACCCAGCATCCAAATTTTAAATTATAGCAGAGAATAATCCGATCATACTGACAAACTGTGTATAAGCTCAGTCAGTTTATGAAATTGCACGTGCCAAATCTTGTGTCTGGAACAAGAGACTCTCCACGTTAGCCCTCACACAGACGTGGTGTGCAGCAGTACAGCATCTCTTGACACACCAGATGGCACTGGGAAGTTGATTCTTTAATCTGTTGACCAGCTGTGTCTCCAGCATCAAATTGCTAGAATTGAAGGCAAATGATACCCCACCTACCAGGGCTCTAACGCTTCAAGGGGCCCTGATAGAAGATACTCATCTGCTGTGTCCTAGTGTTTTGGTCACCACTCTGCCATCACAGGATCCCCACTATCAGATGCTGTCCTTGTCATACAGCTTAAGACAAACTTTCTTGGGTCCACACAGAGTAAACTAAGACATATGTAGGGGCTATTATGCAGTAACTTTGTTGCAATATCCTACTGAGACAGAGAACCTTTCACTGGTTGTCTAAGAGCCAAACTGGTTGAGACGGAGAAAACATTTAACTCAGAAAGCTGTCTCCAACATGGCTGTAAGTGACAGCTAAGGAAGAGTGATATATATTAGGGCAAGCATGTAGGATACCTGCCCCAAATATTTTGTGGACTTCCTCTCGGCACGTCTGGTTTAGTTTCTTCTGAAAGGAATTCAGTTTGTGCAATATGAGACCACTCTGTGATGTGAGGCATATTAAGTGGGGAGGGATCAGCGGGTTTGCTTCAGAAACGCACTCCTGATGCTTACATAAACACAGAGATAAGTAAGGTAGAGGAAAAAACAACATTGCTTCCACCTGAACCCATCTAAACTTCTTGAAGCCACAGCGTTCTCCAGAAAGGAGTTCCACAGATCTCTTGCACGCTGCAGAAAGAATTACCTCAGTTACGCCCCTTTTTGTTTGCTTTGCACCTGGCCCCGACTAGTGCCATTTGACAGCCCTTAGTTCTTAGACTGGAAGAGACGGCAAATGGTCAATCCCTATTTACGTGCCTCCCCTGATTTAGGAGACCTCTACCTATTCCATTCCTTGCAACTCTTCTCTTTTCCAGACTGAAAGGACACACCATGTAAAGTCTTCCTAACACGGAAGCTGTCTGTATGATCATCCTCACTGCTCTTCTCTGAACATTTACAGTACTAACAGAACCTTCTGAAATAAGGTGCTGTCAAACCATGGCTTATACATGTACTATATGGTCGCTGTTTCACCCTCTATTCCTTTCCTAACAGTTTTTAACATGTGGTTAACATTAATGCATCTTAACATTTGCCTTCTTCATCAGCACTGACCTAATGCACTCATGGAACCATCTGTCATTATCCCAAAACCTGCTCCCGAGTGGCAACATCACAATTTGACACTAAAAATGAACAAGAACTTACAGACAAATCTGTAATAACTGGAATAACATTAAATGTAATATAGGAATCGTTTGTTCAGATGCACATTAGCACAAGAAAAGCTGCCATTAACACATTATACTGTTCTTCCAGAAACTTCTAGCCATTATAATATGGCCATTTCTTGCTACACTACAAAGTCATCATCTAATAACCAAACTCTTAATCCTAGTCTCCTGGAATTTTACACATTTAGTCTAGCATCTGTCCCGTTTTCTTTTAATCCATCCTTTTGGCATCTGTGCGCCTTGCTTGTCTGTCTTAGGGTTTTACGCCATTTACAATATATGCCAAGTGAAAAGACCAGGTATTGCCTCTATTTCTGGCAGACAAGTAATCAAATGAAACAAAAAAAACCCCTTCTAAGAGTTACGCAACAGTATCTTCTTTTCCCCCGTGATCTTTTTGCTTCAAGTCACAAAGAATTTTAAGCCTAGCTTTTCAAATACCTGTCTGTGTATACAAGTAATAAAATAAAACAAAAAAAACCCCTTCTAAGAGTTATGCAACAGTATCTTCTTTTCCCCCCGTGATCTTTTTGCTTCAAGTCACAAAGAATTTTAAGCCTAGCTTTTCAAATACCTGTCTGTGTATCAAATTTGCTGTGGAAGATCGGTACTGACTGATCTGATCTAAACAGTGTTTCTACTGACCTGAGCGTGTACTTGGATCAGTAAAAAGCCAATCTATGACACACATGGTTTGTTTATAGGGACCTATCCAGAATATACAGTTCTTTCAGTGTAAGGAGGTCAGACAGAAACAAATGGAGCTGTCTGTGCATTCCAGCTGCACCTAAGCCTACCTAAAGGGTCGCCTCCTTTAGAACTGTGATGCTACAGTGACTTATGTGATCATGTTGCCCTGACAACCAATGGAGATCCTCTTTACAGTTAATCTAGCAGACAGATGCATTTTTGGGACAGATACCCTGAGTTTCATTGCTCACCATCACTCATATTTCCTACCCCCCAATAAAGCATGGAGATTATAAAAAACAAAAGTGCATTGTACAAACCTAGAGTGTGCTTAACTGGCATTACTGCTTTGTTGCATCCCTTTACCTCGGTTGCCTGTCTGGTACTGTGGAAGCACAGATCAGTATGTGAGAGTCTGCCTCACAGTCTTGAAGTGTTTTGATTTCCAAAAAGAAAAATCAAAGAAAAACTGCACACATACCTTCAGGACAGTCCACTGCTCTACAACAATTGCATCATAGCCCTGAATGGGTTTACTGTCTTCAACTGCAACATCTTCAAAGAGAAATACTCCATCCATTGTCCCATGTAAAGAATCTGTGAAAACACAGGGTTATCTCTAAGTTTTATGGAAAGACATTCCATGTGCAGTGAGGTATCTGAATTTATTAATAACAAATTCTTCCAAGGATATTAATAAAAAAGTGAGCAGACCTTGCTCTGATACTCCAGCTTTATTAAATGAACGAGACTGATATCTCTAACAGTTTTTAAAAGCAATTTTACTCTCTAATAGCAAACGTCACTGTCCACTGTTAGTACAGAGTTTGTCGTCATAAAACACAGGTCTCCTATTTCAAGCAGGCAAAATTAATTCAATCCTCAGTTCAGCAGTACTGCTCACCTACTTCACTTTTATACACACACTTTGGGGGCTGTTAATAATTATTATAAGACCATGTATTATGTCAGCTTTTCAAGGGCTTTTGAAGGTACATTGATACTAATGACTATACCCATTCATTCACACAAGTCAGAACCCTACATATGGATCAGCTGTTGCAGTGACCTACATGGACTAAGGATGATCTGGCATATCGAAACAGTGTGAAAGAAAAGATACATTCATAACTATTTAATCAATTTATGAAGGCATTTTGACCATCTGGTTTAGTGGCTCTCTATTCTCATTTGCATTCCCAGCACAGTTTTTCAGACAACACATACTATTATAGTTACTTGAGCAGCACTTTTTCCTTCAACTTAGCTGTGTATGCCATAATCAGCAATCACTCCCATATGCAAGAACTTAAGTTTTGTCAGCTCCATGACAGAACAGAATCAGAATAGCTGAAAAAAAGACTTACCTTTCCTTGCTAAAATAAGGTAAATGATGAAGCAATAGAATTATATTTAGAAAAACTGTAAATAAGCAGTACTGTACTCTATGAACACAGAAAACTCCTCTTACATTGTCACAAAGCATATTTTTCAGCCTTTCTACTTTAAATAATACATTTACCTTGTATGACTGATTATAAAGACTTTGCTTATCCCCTCCTTAAGTGTTGTATTTTGCATAATAGTTTCTTTACAATTTTAAGGAAACTACGTTCCTTGCACTGGTATGAGACGTGTTTTTGAAATGCAACCACACATGCCAAACTGACAGATTCCTGAACAGACAGGAGAGTCTTCTGGATAAAGCTGCTTAGCTCTTTCATCAGGTTCTTCTGCTTTCCCTGGTGGATGTTGTGAGGTCAAGAAATGCCAGTGGGAATGCCCTGCTGCCTCTAAGGGAAAGCATGTACCAAACTCAGAACCAATTTTCACAAAGGAGGTGGTGAAGAGGATTAAGAGGCTTCCTACCTTTTGCAGACACAATCTCAGTCAACATCTTCCGAAGTCATTATATGATCTAAATTAAATTTATTATCTGGAAATAATAAATTTAACAAACCAGACTCCTACAGTTGGAGGTTTATGTCTACAAACACACTCTAGCCAGACTGTTGTTGCAGGTGTCAAGCATTTGCACACCCCTTTGCTTCTACTTGCACGGTCCACTACTCTCTTGCTGCAGTTTCAATCAAGTCATTAAGTTGTAAGTGAGCAGATGAAAAATTTGTATCTGAACTACAACAGGATTTTTTTTTTTTTCATTTGATTGTGAAGGAAAAAAGTTGTAAACCACTTACTAGGGACTCTCCCTGGGATTCTGTTGGGAGATTCAAAGAAGAAAAAAAAAATATGCTGTGTACGTTCACAGTGACTGTCTCCTCAGACAGGTTTCCTGTAACTCTGTTTAGAATAAATAGGGATGAAGACTCCTTACCACTGCAGTGGGCCAGTATTATACATTGATCCAAGGAGGACGAACTGGACTACAAAGCTGTAACTCCTACCATCTAGACGAATTTTTCATTGAAGTGAGGAGAACTGGCATTTTTGTTGTGAAGTAACAGGCCAGATCACTAAGTAGCTGGTTTGCAGGTTAGAAAATGTAGGGAGAACAAGCTTGCCACATACAAATAGGTACAGGAGTTAATTATCTTATTTCATTCAGAAATGGCACTTTGTTAGACCCTACATTTCAAAGTGGGAACCAACTCGACTTCTGTGCAATGTATCACGTTCCAACACCCACACCCATGCCCAAATCTATTTTAGGATGCATAACGTACGAACAACCCTTTAATTTTCCAAAGCTGGGATGACAGGACAGCACCTAAGGCTGAAATCAGAAACCCATAGATCCCTACTAGACACAGACACCCAGGTCTCACCAGGAAGCTTTATACAGCGCCAGTGTACTGTACTCCCGTATCGTGAATTCTCTTAACAAAATTCAGTGTTGCACTGTTGGCACAACTGCAGCTTGAGCTCACCCCACGCATTTGCCAGCTAATTAATAAGCGATCAAAACACAATCAGCATGCGTGTGTTTATACTCGCTCATAAATCATCCTTTATGTTTCACTCTGCTGCGCATTCCACTCGTGCAGTTCACAGCTTCCACATATGTGAACATTATGGCACATACGTAATATTTTAGAAACTAATAGCTGAGCTCATGAGACCCTACAGGCAGTAGAGAAACTTGACTGCACTTCCTTGTTGGATGTACAATGATTACTGTTGAATGCTGCATCCAGTCAATCTTAACAGCCATTAATTTTTTGGCCCGGAAAGAAACCTATAGAAAATGAGAAAAATGGAAGGGGAAAACCAATGAGGGAGAGGCAGCTGTTGCATACTGGTGCTCAACTGAGTGATGCTGGTGAAAAACTCTGTAAGAGAAACCGATTGATGGCACTAAGATTTTCCCCCTTAACCATAAGTCTCCTCTCTACCTGTCATGCCACAACGTTTAAACTTCCACATCATGAATGCATGTCTGCCAGTTCTCACGCTGTGGCCATACATATTCCCTTTTACAGGTCATATACTGCTTTTCCAGAAGAAAGGGGGAGGTAAAAGAAAGAATAATTGGATTATTAATTCCTTCGCATGTGAAGCATTTGGGATGCTGAGAATAATTGGGGGAAAGGAAAAAGCAGCAGAAAAAGAGCTAACAGGGTCGTATTTTGGAGAAAAGGCACACATGCTGTGCTGTCAGGATCAGCAGGATTTTCAGGGAAACTCTTACACAGAGGTGTGGAAGGGCAAGGCAATGGACAGACGCACTGAGTCTACCTGCAATACCTTTATCACACAGATGCTCTTAAGTCTGCAGCAACTTAAGTCTACAGTCACATGTTCTAGAGCTGGCGTACTAGGTGAGATTCACATAATCTAACATTAGGTATTTACAATATAGAGGTCTACGGCTTAGTCATCCAAGGTTCTCTTTACAACTGATGGAGAGAAACAAGCATTATTTCATTCAGGACCCAGTTTCATAGAATTACAGAATAATTCAGGTGGATGGGCACATCAGGAGGTCTCCAGTCCAATCTCCAAGTGCAGAGCAGAGCTGTTGCAACTTGAAAATCTCCAAGGATGGAGACTGTACAGCTTCCTGGGCAGCCTCTTCCAGAGTGTGACTGCTTTAATGATGAAAAAAAATTTCTTCATAACAAAATAGGACCTCTCTTGTTTCTATTTATGCACATTTTTTCTCATCCTCCTACCGTACACCTCAGTCAAGAGCCTGGATCCATCTTCTTGATAGTCTTCTCATAGGCACTGCCAGGTACTGTTAGTTCCCTCAAAACCTGTCCTTTCTCTAGGCTGAACCAACCCAGCTCCTTCAGTCTTTCCTCAGAGGACAACTGCTCCAGCCACTGACTATCTTGCTGGCCCTCTGCTAAACTAGCTCCAGTTTGTCAACATCTTCCTTGCCCCCTTTGGGGGAAAGCCCAGAAGTGAACATAGTATGTGCTCTAGATACAATCTAATGAGCATCAAGTAGAGGAGGATCATCACTGTCTTTTATCTACTGGCTACATTCTTGTCATTATAGTCTGGTACGCTGTTGCCTTCTCTACTGCCGGGGCATGCTGCTGGCTCATCTCCACCTTGCTGCCCACTAACACCTCCCACAACCTTTTCAACAGAGCTGCTACCCAGCCATGCAGTCCCCAGCCTGGATTAGTGTAAAGGTCTCTCCCTTCCCAGAGGCGGGACATCTGTCCTCATGGAATTTCAAAAAGCTCCTGCTGGCACATTCTTCCAGCCTGCCCAGGTCCCTCTGGATAGCAACCCAGTTCTGAAGCACATCAACTGCACCCCTGAGTATGGGATCATCTGCAAATATGACAAAAGCAAGCCCTGTTGCCTCCTCTGCATCATTGATAAAGTTGTTAAACACAACAGGTCCCAGGATAGATCTCTGTGGTACTCCACTTGTTACTCCAGGTAAAGTGTGACCAATTAACCATGATCCTCTGAGCCTAGCCATGCAACCAGTTTTTTACCTGTCTGGTTATTCTCCCATGTAGGCTGCAGGGTCCTAACCTGGATAAAAAAAACATTGTGGGAGCCACTGTCAAACTTCCTTGATGAATTCACCCAAAATAACATCTACTGCTTTCCCTTCATTCACAAATCTACTGACTTTATCACAGAAGACAATCAGTTTTATCAAGTCTCCAGAAATGCGTTCCAAGAGGATTCACTCAGTGATTTGCCTGTGAAGTGTGGCTGACCCACCCCGTAGGTCCCTAAATTGTCCTTTGGCCTTTTTTTAAAGATGGATGCAACCTTTGCCTTTCTTAAGTGTTGGAAACCTCCCCTGATCTCCATGACCTTTCAAAGATGACTAAGAGTGGCCTTGTTATGACATCAGCCAGCTCTCCGAGCACCCTTGGATGCAGACCATTTGGTCTCAGGAACTCAAGCAACCCCTGTCTTGATCTTCATCCACTGCTGCTAGTCATGCACCTCTTTGAACCTTGCCTGTAAGCTCAGAGGCCTGGAAGACTGTGTCAGTGAAGACTAAGGCAAAGCATGCACTGAGTATCTCAGTCTTATCCAGGCCTGCTGTCACTAAATCACCCGCTCCAATCTATCTGATCTCTTTTAGGTATCCAATGAGGATGAGGTGAATCACAACACAAATCCTACTGACTATATCGGTCTAGGCCTGCATCTCCATTGATTACAATGGCACTTTTGGGTGACAACTCATATGCAGACACCTGCAGGGCAGATGCCTACATTTATTCAGTCGAATCTTACCTATCTTCAAAGATCAGTCATCTAAAGCTTTGGATGGTGAGATGGTCTTTCCAGTTTCCACTGCTTCTCATGCAAGGTATTTCGTGATTCTGATGCAGTTGTGTTCTCTTTTGGTAATCTCTTGTTTAACAAGATTTAGCTCCTGGAACTTAGCCTACATTAAAAAGGTCTTTAGTAATTTCATACACTAGTTCATTTGCAATAGGGCAGTAAGGAATCCCAATAAAACAAATCATTTTGACTTTGCTGTTTGTGGTATCACTTCCCAATCTCTACTCTTGAATTGACATAACTTCACTCTTTCTTAAAGAAAAGGCTCTGAACATAAAAGTTACAATCACTGTCCTTCCTCTGAAAATGTTCAATTACCCCTGCATTTTTTATTAAGGTATCCTACTGTGCACAAAAAGCTATTTTCACTGGGTTGTATAAATATTTGATGTAGCTCAGTTGACAAAAAGCTATTTTGATGTTCTTGTTTCTGATTTACCAAAAGTATACGGGAAAAAGAGTTCCTACTTTACCATGACGGCTTTCCTAGTGGGCAACAATTTTCCCCTTGTCTTTGAACTACAAATCCTTCTTACCTAGGAAACTAACCTTTGGGCTGCTGTTGCTCTCAATGAGGAAAACTAGCTATCTGTGGTTTTATGTGCCATGTGACCTGAATGTTGGCCTTTGCTTCATACTTATATTCCTCCCTCCTCCTGAATCTTTTCACCTTCAGTACACACAGAGAAAAATAATTCTACATGGATGATAAAAATCCCAGCCACTTCAGTGGAAAAGGTGAATATAATTGGCCAAATGCATCACTGATTCATCTCTGTCAGAGGCAGTACAAATATAACAATCAATCTGACTCTCTAAAAACCTGACTACTTTCCTCTTCCAAGCAACTCACATTTTGTTTCATTTGCTTTAAGTACTCTCAAAGTTTTCTGATTGGCTGGCTGGCTTTTTCTAAGTTTGAAAGGCAGGAAACTCACAGACAGAATGGTAAAACAAATTCAAAAATGCCAAGCAGTTCAAAACAACCAAAGATGAGCAGGCTTGTGATTACTCTGATAAGGCATAAAAATATAACCTTAGCTTTAACTCTTCTCCTTCTCACTCTCATCTTCTCACACTATTAATTTGAGACTTGCTGTTATAGGAAATAAGAGACCCCGCCCATTACATCCTTTCCATTTGCACTGGTATTAATCCGTAGCTTGCTGCTAAAATCTCCACTTCTCACTACAAGAGGGCAAGGGTGAAGTCCTATGATCGCTTTAGGTCACTAGGCAGGATCCCAGTTTATACCTGGGACTCCAGGCAGAATTAGCAATGACATGAGTTGGATGAAAAACACCAGCAAGTTACTGAACTCCAAATTTAAATAACTTCTTTTTAAACATAAGCACATTCAAGGACTGAGCAAGCTGCTGTTTCTAACTTACTAGCAAAATCTGAATACATTTCATATATGGTATAACTCTGCGTGGTTTTCATATTGTAACTTGCAATTGTCTTATATTTCTGTTTATAATTATCTAATCAATAAGCAAAAAGAAACAATTGTTATCAGTGAACTTTAAAACTTTTTTAAAGACTAATTATTAAACTGTTGGCAGAAGGAAGAAACAGATTTGCAACTACTGACAATCTGGAAATCTTCACTTCATTGGGCATTCCAAGGACAAGGAGGGAAAAGAAGAAGAAAACAACTCTGCTTTTAAGTCTAATAAGCAAAATAATGAATTCATACTTTAAGCCAAAGAGAAAAACAGCCCCTAGAACAAAGCAATGTGATATAACTAATTAAAGAAAGTATGTTAGTATTACCTTAATTTAGAAGAGGAATAATCAGTGAATAAGGAGACCAGCTATGAAGAGCTGGGTAGGCTGCTATAAAAGACTAGAAAACAGTAAGGACCTGAGAAGTCCTCAGTCCCCTTGTTCTTCCCTCCTCCCTATCCTGGGTTGTTTCATACTGGTTGGTGTAGGAGTGAAAAAGCTGTTCCGTTTCTCTGCAGCACAGGAAAATTTTAGGATTTAAATCATAAACATTTAACTGCAAGTGACAGCAATTTACAGACGTCCTTAGCAAATGTTCTAATAGCATGGGCATGTTCACAGTGTTTTAACATAACTGTTAATTAACTGATTAATACACTTGTGGAAACCTTAACTCTGAGCTTTTTGACTTCTAAACCTGTTCTTCCTGTAACTGTAAAATGCTAATAAAAATTATTCATCTTCAATCTCCAATCTAACTTAATCCTGAATCTGACCACTTTTATACAATTCGTTGTTCTGTTTGCATACAAACTTTACTGTCATCATTCAAGTATCCTTTATCTATGTCCTCAGGCAGTTATCCAGCACTCCTCACTCTGGTATCCAAGCACATAAACTTCCCCCAGGCCTCTGTTATGTAAATGAACTCTAGAAGTTTAAATAACAGAAAAATGCTGTGTTTAAAGCATTTTAGAGAACACTGATAAGCAGTTATTATTAAAGAAAACACTGGGCCTGATAGAGCCAATTAGATTTGCCTCTATGAGTTGCAATTTATACACATGAAGTAAATGACCATTTGTTTTTAAGAAAGTTAACTAGCAATTACAAGGCTTTCCAGGAAGCTGTGTGAAAGCATTCCATCAGCTGAACTTTAGACCTTCCTTTTTTGCTACTTGCTTGCAAAATGAAAAATTAGGATTGCCTGTTAATTTCCTGATTGACTTTTACCAGAACTGACTCATATCACTGTGTTTTATCATGGGTCTTGGAATTCTGACCAGCAGCAAAATGGAAAGAAGATGCTCTGGAAGGAGTTCCCCTGTAATTTTGAAGCACAAACCCACTAATTTTAGCAGCAGTGCCCAATCTACGGGTTACCACATTCCTTTTGAAGAATGCAAAACAAACCAAAATTAGGTGAAAGATTCAACCATAAGCACTTTAACCATGAAATATACTAGTCACATAAAATTTTCCAGTAAAATTAATCTGGCTGTAATTTGAACATTTTACTGTTCGAGTACTTCTCTTGGTTTGTTCTCATGGTCACTTGGTTATGTCTCTGAGATCCCTACTATGCACCAAAATCTTTCTTTGTACAGGAGGCTTGTCTTCAGAGACACCATGGGGGCCAGTAATTTAATACAGACTGGCAACAGGATTAAGCTGGATTCAGTGCCGCATTTTCACAACAAGCAAAAATCTGGGGGTTTTAATCTTCTCTTCTTAAATTAAGATCAACATTTACCCATCACTCCTATGAGCACACTAGCTAGGATGAAACAAACAGAGAAGACAATTTTGTAAAATACTATGCCATCAAGGCAGAAAGGGTCTCTGCAAGAACTGGGAGTACCTGACTACATGTAGGCCAGATGAAACTGGAGAGTCCTTATGCTGACCTGCAATCAGACCCAGATACAGTGTGTGGCCGGACAGCTACAAGGAAAGCCACTATCCATTTATGTCATCTGCTTTACAATCTTATTAGTTTAATTCATTTTACTTGGTACTGTTTATTAACTCTGTGTATTTCTGCAATTACAGGATCGTCTCTAGTACGTTTATAAAATACAATGCATGATCTGTTTTCCTTATTCAAATGCCAAAATATTTCCTGTGCTTTCATTCCATTTCACTGAAATAGGCTGATCTAAAACAAATCTGCCCCAAGCCTGTATTAAAGCACCTCCCAAATGTCTTCTCTTCAAAGATAATGACCTCTATTAGAGGAGAAAGGAAAATAATCACAGCATAATGCCTTCTGTAATTTCCATACCATTTACCATTCCAAGGCTGAAGATGGCGTTTACCAATGAGCCTCCTTTCCTGAAGTGATCTGTCATGTGCTCCAGCCAATTTGCTTCTAAGCTGTTGACAGTCTGCCCATTCCTGGAGATCCTCATAGGGATAGTCACTGTATAATATTGGCTGCATCTTTGAGGGGTTTTTGGCTTGTTGAAGAGAGCGAAGATCTCTGCTTCTACCAAAAAGTAAAAAAAGGAGTAATGCAACAACGGTATCATAATAGTTCAGTTAAAACAATGTATAACCCACTTTTTGCCCTTGCCTAACACATTGTGCAACTGTAAAAAATACTCTGGGGTGTGGTTATCTCCTTAATACATTTCTGCAGTGTCCAACACAGTAGGGTCCCAAAATCCATTTTGATTGCTGTTACAGTATTTGTTACTAATAACAGACTCACTGTTGATAATAAAACATTTATGAAACAATAATACCTGAGTATTAATGGACAACTCCCCTACTGGAGTTATTAGTGTAAGCCAAGACAGGAAAACATGCTCCACAAACTGCTCTAAGTACTGTAGCAGTCACAAAATCACTAAAAATTAAGGCACAGAATACCTTGATTTTTCTACTGAATGAATTGTTAAAAGAGCTGTTCCACTGAGGACAGTTCAAATACAAAATCTTACTGCAACTTTAGGAGGAACGGCATTCTGTAGATCATGGCCATTAAACTAAAGTTTTAAGTAACTTGGTTTTGATAATACAATGGTATGGAACCAGCAAGTACTAGTCTCATCTAAAGAAAATGCAACGAACCATTAATGTAGAGATTATGCTAGCTGGTTCATTGATTTACTGTGGGTCTGAGCCAAGGTGAGACATTAACACAACAGCAAATGACTTTTGAAAGTCAAATTGTGAAAGGTCTTACAAATGAGAACATTTTCTAGACTCTGCTCCATATCTCCTCTAGTATCATAGGAGCAGTAAACGTAGGCTTATCATTACAAAAAAGACATTGTTAAAAGCAAAGCTGAGCTTTCACAGGCCTAGAATCGGAAGCAAGTTTAAGTGCAGATGCATCTTCCAAATTCTCAGAGGGGTACAGCCATCAATAAAATTACAAAAAAAAAAAAAGAATTTTGGATATTATTTTACTTATTAATGGACATGGAAATGGATGGTAAAATTTCTATTGACTTCCAAATACCAAAAATTCTCTCAAACTAAATCAATATAAAAGGTAAAGACGTTATATGAAATTCATTCATTCAATAAGCTCTTCTTGTTTCCAAGTTATTATATTCTAATCTCAAGTATTAAAGAAAGAGATGTCAAAGGAAATGTTAAGATTGCTCTCTAGCAAACGCCACTGAGCAAGCAGTGTGCAAATTGAAAAAGATATTAGAAGGGAGATGCTCAGAGACAGGCTGGCAGCACTTGAAGAAGAGAGCAGGAAGCTCATGATATAACCAAACATGAAAAAGAGACCTAATAATCTCAGACATGAACCATGACTGAAATAGAGTAGAAAGGAATAAATTACTAACATGAATCCTCTTGCTGTTTGCCACTTGTTTGGAAAGAACAAAATTATTATAATCCTAACTCAGAAGAGCATACACAGAAAACTGCTATGATCATTTTGATTTTGATCCCCAAAATAGACTCATGTTGGAAATGTAGATCTTTTTGGTGGGTATGAAAACACTATATTAACAATAGCAAATCATGGAACTGGAAAACCATAGGGAGATGATAATTTGGATTTGACATTGGGCCGTTGACAACATGCATTTAAAATGTGTGGGAGTCTTTCAGTTGTTGACTTGGTTTGTCACCATTACTGACTGTATAGTGCACCAGTCCTCATCACTGTTCAAGTCACTACTGACAACAGTTTTCACCAGCGAGTCGGACTGCTCAAGTATGGACAAAGACACCTTCAGTTTGGTTCTAGGTAACACGGCACTTTTGGACATACCATTGGAATATCTGTGCCTTGTTCACAGGCAAATCATTTTCAACACTGCTTTGAGGAGCCCTTTAATAAAAGGGAAAGTGAACAAGCACTACAAAATATTCAGGAAAAAAAAAGAAGCATAAAAATAACACTTGAATAGTATAAAACCTAAAATAAAGAACAAAATTAAGATTCCACAAACAGTACAAAATATTACATTTTTTTTCTGAAGTTTTATGTAGGGAAGGAGTTTAAGAGTGGTAACTTCCTATGGAATAAGTAGGCTAACTGGAAAAAAAAAACCCAACATCTGATGCTTTCTGTCTTCGTGTTCCCAAGGAAGGATGGAGAACTGGTGCCAAAGACTGAAATACATTTTCCATGGGAGGAAAAGGGAGTGCTGTAATAACATGAATTCATTCAAGAGTAATAAAGAAATCAGCAACATTGTACAGGCAATAGATTTGGGAAAACCCTACTATAGGTGAACTGTCACATAAAACTGCTGTCTCAGACTTTCAGTCTTGGACAGTATTTGAATAACTCACCAATTAAAAAACCTGTATGCCAAAAAGCACTCAGAGAAAGATAGATAGATAGATAGATAGGTAAGGAAACTAAAGGCATTTTAAAAATAAAATCTCTTATGTGGCACATCAGCAGCTATAATAAAATCCTGTGGTGTTACAGACAGATAGATGTTGGGAAGATTGGAGGTTGTCAGCTTCACATTATGCAGAAATATTAAGAACATGGTTACTTATAGCAAAAGATTTCCACTGTTCAGTATGGTGAAGAATAGCATCAAAAAGATGATTATAAACTTGCTTGGTTAACTCTCTCAAAGCCAGTGTATATAAAGAGAGAAAGAACTGATCTGATTAGACTTGGAGATAACTAATTCAGAACTATAAAACTAAGAGAGTTTTTATAATGTGCAAGATTCTAATGTAAGTCAGAACAAATTTTTCAAATAATAGCTATGGTTTGACTAAATCTGGCTGCCCCCTTGTCCAACAAAAACCGAAGAAAGTATGGTGAAAGGTTACTAGAGTGTGATCCAAATCTCAAGGCAAAAATCTAATTACACCAAAATGCAACGGAAACCAAGACAATAGTCCAAGTAGGGTACAATGCAAAGACATTCTCAGTCCTACATACAAAATCCCCAAAGGGGTAGGATTGTTTGACTGAATCTATGTAAGACATAAAGAATAGGGATAAATTAAAAGTCAAGGACAGTACCAGCTGAAAGGAATGTGGATGGAATTTCCTTACGTAGATTTGTAGCTTGTAAGGAAAGTAAGCAAAGTGGGGAGAGAAAGGAGTGTACACACTGTTTTCTAGGATTTCAGCAAATGTAAGAAAGAAATATGTTGAGGATTAAACTGGAAATGGGGCAAGAATATTTTTTTCTGATTACTTAATTTTCTAGATTACTCTGGTCTACATCCTATTTTGAACTACAATTCCTGCTACGGAAGTAACCTCTGAGCAACAAACACCTTAAGGAGGGTACTTTGAGGCCTTTTTTTTTTTTTTTTTAATGGCATAAAATTACATTTAAAAGTGGAAAGCACACCTGAGGAGAAATACATCAAAGAAATGAAGGAACGAACACTGGTATATGAGTCTTACAAAAAGAAAAAAAAAAAAAGATAATTGGAAAGCAAATTATTAGGAGCACCATTACCAAGAGGACCTTTATTATGAATTAACAAACATGAATCATTAACAAAAATAACTGCTGCTTTCCATTAATTACAATTCTGACTGTAGCACTGACTATAGGGTACTAGGAGACTTCAGAGTCCAGATCACATATATTCCTGCT